TATATAGCCACATAGAATATAGCTATATATTTGTCACATAGTTGCGCTTTCATTGACTTACAGCAGGAGACGTTTGCGAGAGGCACTTGGAAGAGCGTCATGTTGTGAAAGACGGCGGGTCGCTCGCAGGCGGGGTTGTATCGCGCAGACCTCCCCATCGCAGCGGATGAGACGTGCCGAAGCCAACGCATCAGCCAAATGAGATCTCGCTCGCACGTGTACGGATTACGATGAAGTTGGCTGTCGAAGAGACGTCGGTGGTGAGGAGGAGGAGGAGGAGGAGGAGGCGGAGGAGGAGGAGGAGGAGGATGAGGAAGGGGAGGAGGAGGAGGAGAAAGAGAGACATTTATAGCGTGGAGGAGGAGGAGGAGGAGGAGGAGGAGGAGACGGGGGAGAGAAGGGATGAAAGTGAAGAAACGAAAATATAGACTATTAGCCAGAATCTTATTTAGTGAATACGTGAGTGAGTATTGTGAGTACTCATGAAATGCGTGGTGAAACTCTATATAGTTTTCCGACAATTTTCACTCGTCCCCTCCGAAGAGAGCATGACGTAATACTGGTTAAATAAATCGAGTGCGCCGTGTAATTCTCTCCGCGTGTCTCTATTGCACGCGATCTATGAGCGATGTGAGAATTTTCACCAAGCTGAACGTGTAAACGATTTTGTGCACTATATCAATATATTAACATGAGTAACAATGTACAATGTAAAAATCACTCTATTAACTATAACTATTTAGTACTAGTAACTATAAGTACCGTGAAAGTGAAATATATTAACGTACTGTAACACACTATAAGTACCATAAAAAACACTATATTAACATATTGTAAGTAAGCATGAGTTTCATAATACAGATGAGATATTATCTTAATATTATCTTATATATTATCTTATTTATTATAATCTATATTGTGACACTCCCGAAGATTCTATAAATATCGTTAAAGCACGTCGGTAACGTAGTAGAGTAATCACGCTAAGTGACACATAGGATCAGTGTTGCCATAATTATAAATCAAAACACAGCACACCACGATGCTAATTAAAAATCCCGCTAATGAAAACGCGATTGTACGTCGTTGTTCGTCGCTAATCCGCGCAAGCACGAGAGGCTATTGTGAACAATTAACGAACCGTATTGATTAACTTTCTAGCTTGACGATAAAGTAGCGCGTCTTTTTGGTTTTAGCTCTGGGCTATCACAGTATGTGTTGTAAGTGAGCTTTTTACGTGCATAGACAACGAAAACGCGTTCCCTTAGCGCGCGGAGTGCGTAAAATGAGAGAGTACAATTGGATAGCTTGTCTCACCTACTTATGTTAGTATTAGACTTATTTTGAGAGAGAGAGAGAGAGCGAGAGATAAAGAGAGAAAGAGAGCGAGTAAGAGACAAAAAGAGAGAGAGAGAGTGAGTAAGTGAGAGAGAGAGAGAAAGAGAGAGAGAGACAGAGAGAGAGAGAGAGAGAGAGAGAGAGAGAGAGAAGAAGACGAAGAAAGGAAGAA